GGGGTATGCTGACGGCATCATTATGTTGCAGTGTTGTTATCAGTTTATACGATATAATTGCCCTGGGAACTGTGTTGAGGATTTAAGGGAACCCATTTGAGTATTCAGGGAAATTCTCAGTACTTAATGAGAGCAAGCAATTAGTTAATTTGCCTAATTATGGAAGAATTAGCGCCAGCTGTCCACGTAGCGAGGGTGTTTTATATTAACGTAAATTGTCTTGCTGAAATAGACGTGAGTGATCAGTCTTTTGCAACGGTTGCAAGATAAGGGGGGCAGTAATATTGGTATACTCTTGTTGTTGCACAACCGTGTGTCATTATTGTGTGGGCACAGTAATTAACGAGTTGCATTAGCCGCAACCATATGTGGGCAGTGCATTTGTGTTGTTGCATGCCATTGTAGTGTGACCTATGTAACACTGGGGTTACTTTGTTTCTTTAAGTTGTATTGAGGACTTAAGGATTCAGTGAGTTAATTAGATAAGGGCTGCACACTTATTGTGGAGTGAGTGAGGGCTGTTATGAGAGAACAGCGTTGAGCTTGAGTGAGATACATCTCGGGAGCAATTAATTGTCCGTGTGACAACTAATTGACCACTCTAGCTAATTATGTAATTAGCCTTCTCATCATGAATTCACGTAGTGGAGAGGATCTGTCAGAGTCTGTCAGTATTTGTGTTAACGGAATTTGCTCGGGACTAATTACCTTTCGGGGGAATAGCAATTAGTGGCCCATGGAAATTAGTGGAGTAATTAACGACTGGAGTCGGGAGGGCTCAGATGACTCGGTAAAGCGAGGTCATTGAGCTAGCATAAATCGTTGTATTAATCATATCCTGTCTGAGGACAGTGGATTAATTGCACTCATGTTAATTAGGGGTAATTAACTCCTTTCCCGTGAATTCACAGTGTTTGATGAGACCTGCTTAGGCAGTGCGGAGTGAGACGTATTTATGGATGATTAATTATCGGTCCTGGTGACAGTTAATTAATTGCTCGGAGTTAATTAGGGTAATTAACACTCACTAGCAATTTTTTGACACAGACTGTTGAGAAGCTACCAAGTTAGGGTAGGCTTAGTTAACGTAACTCAATGGGGATGTAATTAGTGGTCCTGGTTGATACCTGGTTGATGGGGTTCTGGGAGTTCTTCTACTTCCCAAGCCCGGCCCGAGGCCAGGCTTGACTTGTGAGAGTTTGGTCCACTAGGCTGTTGCTTGGAGCGGCCCGCAGGCCCACATACCCACCACAGCCCGGTTGGTCCGGCACTCCTTGGAGGAATAAATCTAGTTTTCTCTTGAAAAGGACCGTTAAGGTCCGTTTGACCTTAATTAAGAATTACTCACTGAATACTTGCTAGGAGTGAAGTGTGATGTAATATACGAGTTTGAGTTATTGTTAACAGAGATGACTTGTATTGAGAGAGACAAGTGTTGAGGATTAACGTAGAGTACCATCATGTTGTTGTCTAGTGTGAGACAATTGTTTGTGATTAACGTAGTACTTTGTTGCTGACTGCTGTGATCAGTCAATTAACGTAATTAATTACATAATCAATGTATTGATTAAGGCAATTTCTTTTGGTTGTCGTCTGGTGACGAGAGTAGAGTAATTTAGGGGTTTGTGGAGCTGTGTCCCAGAATCCTGCCTTGCCTGACTTTATTTACTGTTTACAGTGCAACTTCTTGTAGGGAGTTGCAAAGAGTGTTCACACTGGGTTGTGATAGGGGGAGTCACTGTTAGACTACCCGCCTAGTTACGGGGGTCTCACCTGGGGGGCGGGAGGACCCTTTAGCTTGGGATTATAGTAGCTGTCAGGGAAGCCGTGACACTATTGATTGCATGCTTATGTCTTCAGTGGGCATCATTGTTCAGTTAGTTCACTTGTTAGCCCGAAGTGTCAGCAGGATGGAGCCTGCTGTCATTTCTCAAGGGGCTGTTGAATAGCTGTGTTGCAATTGCCACTGGATGGAAAATAACGTAACCATTCGCTGTGGAGTAACTTAGTCTGTGATATTTTTCTTTGATTTGCAATATTGCGTCATCAGTGGGCACACCTGTGCTCAGGTTAGTTCAGTATGCAGCCGCACAGCAAGGGTTGCTATTTAGCTGTTTCTTATCGTGCCACTGGATGGACATGTGCACACACCCCGGGTAGCCCCCACAACCATGTGTGACTACATACCTGTGCACCACCTGAGCAGGGGGGCCTAATGGGCTCACCTGCTCAGGAGCTGCGCTCGGTTGTAGTCGCACTTTACACTACTCTCACGCACACTCATGGAGGTGCAGATACATGGAAAGCTAAAGTCTAGGGAGTGGCAACAAGGAACTTTCTGAGCCAACATGTCAGGGAACCCACAAGAATGAGAGGCAATGACGAACCAGCTAGAATCGACCTGATTTTCCCCTTGAATAAGTCAGAAGAAAGGGAAGTCAAATTTGAAGCCCCATAGGAATGAGTAACCACAGTGTACTGACATTTGAGTACCTGTTGGAGATAGGGATAACCTATCCAAGGATGGGATTGGAAGGGAAAAGACTAAATTACCGAAGTGAAAAGTATGACGAGATGAGGAACTTCCTAATGGGAATACCATGGGGCAACAGAACTCGGAGAAAAGACTGTACAAGATATGAAGGATTATGTCACCCAGAACTGCCAGGAAGCTGCTGAGAGGTTTATTCCGGCCCAAAAGGAGAAAAATGAAAAGCAACAGAAGAATCCATGGTTCAACCAGGAATGTAAGCTGGCAAAGCAACTGGGTAAAAGAACATGGAGAAACTACAGGAATAACAGAACACAAGAGATAAAGGAAAGATACCAGAGGGCCAGAAATGAGTACCTCAGAGTGAGGAGAGAAGCAGAGACAGTATGAAAATGTCATCGCGGGTAAAGCTAAGCCCCAATCAAAGCTGCTCCACAGCCACATCAGGAGGAAAACTGCAGTGAAGAAACAAGTGATGAAACTGAGAAAAGGGAAGAACCGATACAAGGATAATGACAAGGAGGTGTGTGAAGAACTCCACAAGAGATTCCAGGAGGTCTTGTCAATAGAACAAAAAGAAGTCCTGCACTAAATGAGGAGACGTCAAACCAAGCAACCTTGGAAGATTTTGACCTCACCAGTGAAGAGGTCAAAAGGAATCTGTTGGAGCTGAACGTGACAAAGGCTGTTGGGCCTGACAGAATCTCAAAGTGAGTATTAAAAGAAGGTGCAGAAACACTAAGTGTGCCACTCTCTATGGTGTATAACAGGTCACCGGAAACAGGAGACCTACCGGAAAGCTGGAAGACAGCTAATGTAGTCCCAACATACAAAAAAGGGTGACAGGCAAGAGGCACTGAACTATAGACCAGTTTCCCTAACTTGTATACAATGCAAGGTGATGGAGAAGATCGTGAGGAAAAGGCACGTAGAGCATCTGGAAGGAAATAGCTGTGTAAAACACTACGAACATAATTTCCCGAAACTGAGAGGGATGAGCTACGAGGAAAAGCTAAGGACGTGAACCTCACGTCCCTGGAAAACAGAAGAGTAAGGGGAGACATGATAACCACCTACAAAATTCTCAGGAGAATTCACAGGGTGGAAAAAGACAAACTCTTCTGCACGGGTGGAACACGAACAAGGGGACACAGGTGGAAACTTAGTACCCAGATGAGCAACAGAGACTTTAGAAAGAATTTTTTTAGTGTCAGAGTAGTTAACAAATGGAATGTATTAAGCAATGATGTGGTGGAGGCAGATTCCATGCACAGTTTTAAGTGTTGATATGATAGATCCCAGTAGGCTCGGGAATCTGTACACCAGTTGCTTTTTTTTCCTTTATTATTATTTTTTTTAATATTATTTTCTACCACAAACGTGGCCACACATTTGATTGACAGTTGAGAGGCGGGACCATAGAAACCAAGCTCAACCCTTGCAAGGACAACTAGGTGACTACAACTAGGTGCGTACACACACACCGCCTGCTGAAACAAACATCGATATGTGTATAAGCACAGATGTTGAGGATTGTCGCGGGATATCGACAACCGAAGGATAAGGATATACGGGTGTGGAGGCGTCGGGATATTTGTTTTGTTGAATTGGAGGCTGGGATGGAGGTGGAAAAGGGGGAAAGGGTGGATTTCGGGGGCGCCTTATGGGGGCCTTGGATAGGGAGCTTTATATTGGAGAGGAGGTTATGGGTGATGGGGACTTATAACCCCATGTGCCTGTCGCCTCACCCTGCCTTCTTACTGGCCAGTGTATGTTGTGGTTCTTGCCTGTACAGTCCTCCTGGGGATATGTTGCCAGCCTTCATGCTCTCCCCTCTGTCACAGGGGCCAATAGTAGCTTACAATATTGCATAAGATAAAACATATTATCCTGGGTACAGTTCACTTACCCTGGGTGTAGACGGTAAACATACCCTGGGTGTAGACGGTAAACATACCCTGGGTGTAGACGGTAAACATATCCTGGGTGTAGACGGTAAACATATCCTGAGTGTAGACGGTAAACATACCCTGGGAGTAGACGGTAAACTCACCCTTGGTGAAGACGGTAAACATATCCTAGGTATAGACGGTAAACATACCCTGGGTGTAGATGGTAAACATACCCTGGGTGTAGGCGGTAAACTCACCCTGGGTGTAGGCGGTAAACTCACCCTGGGTGTAGACGGTAAACATACCCTGGGTGTAGACGGTAAACTTACCCTGGGTGTAGACGGTAAACATACCCTGGGTGTAGACGGTAAACATACCCTGGGTGTAGACGGTAAACATACCCTGGGTGTAGACGGTAAACATACCCTGGGTGTAGACGGTAAACTTACCCTGGGTGTAAACGGTAAACTCACCCTGGGTGTAGGCGGTAAACTCACCCTGGGTGTAGACGGTAAACTCACCCTGGGTGTAGGCGGTAAACTCACCCTGGGTGTAGACGGTAAACTCATCCTGGGTGTAAACGGTAAACTCACCCTGGGTGTAGGCGGTAAACTCACCCTGGGTGTAGACGGTAAACTTGCAGGGGGCGGTCTGAGCACCGACGGTGTTCTGCGCCCAGCACCACACCTCAAAACTCTCCTCCTCCACACGGGTCAGCGTGTAGTGCCCAGTCAATCCCTCCTTCCGTCCCATGCTGTGTAGTCTCACAGGCGGAGTCTCTGTGGTGGAAGGGAAAGCTGTGATGGGAGGGTTAAGGGTGCATGAGTATTGGTGGTGGTAGAGGGACCGACTCTCACAGTAAACACAGTACTTGTGGAGGGAGAGGGGCCGACACTCCCAGTAAACACAGTACTTGTGGAGGGAGAGGGACAGACTCTCACAGTAAACACAGTACTTGTGGAGGGAGAGGGGCCGACACTCCCAGTAAACACAGTACTTGTGGAGGGAGAGGGACCGACTCTCACAGTAAACACAGTACTTGTGGAGGGAGAGGGGCCAACACTCCCAGTAAACACAGTACTTGTGGAGGGAGAGGGGCCGACACTCCCAGTAAACACAGTACTTGTGGAGGGAGAGGGACCGACTCTCACAGTAAACACAGTACTTGTGGAGGGAGAGGGGCCGACACTCCCAGTATACACATTACTGGTGGTGGGAGAGTGGTGGTGGCTTTCACATCGCTGGGGAGTCGACCCGTGTCTAGCCTCTCCTCAAGGTCAAGGGTCAGTCTCCCACCCACAAAATGAGCTCAGTTGGAATAACAGGTAACGCTGGGCGATGGATATTCAACTGCTTGTCAATCCGAACGCAGAACAACAGTCAACTAAATAAAATCGATCTCAGGAACAGTGAAAAGCTCTGAGCCTCAGGGCACAGTCCTTGCACCACTGCTTTTCCTTATTATCATATTCCATTCAGACAAATACACAACTCACAGCTTAGTATAATTTTTTTTGTCATTTGACTCATATATAATCGTGAAAACTACTTATGTTGAAGACATTGCAAAACTACAAGTTGATAATAATATTGCTTTCAATCGTGCAGCAGAAAATATTATGTTTAGCAGTGATAAATTCCTGGCCCTTAAATTACCCTACCCTACACTTACACACACTACCTTACACTTAGACAACCTACCATACACTTACACCCCACCTACCTTACATCCATACATCATAAACAACACATACACACCCTATGCTATACATTCATATCATAATATTAGGGTAGAAGTAAAAATTAAGACCTTAAATAAAATTCAGAGTACAAAACACATTCAAATGTGCTCATAGTAGGAAAGCAGGATGTAAAGGATCTGGGAATAATGATGTCAGACGACCTAACGTTTAGGGAGCATAACCAAGCAAATATTGCGTCAGCTTGAAAAATGGATTGCAAGAACCTTCAAATCTGGCGATCCCACCACAATGGTTGTACTATTTATATTTCTTGTGCTGTTGCGTCATGAGTACTGCTCGATATTCACTTCTCCCTTCAGAGCAGGAGAGAGAATGCTGAAATAGATAGAATACAGAGAACATATACGCACGCCAAGACACAACCAAACATCTCAATTGTTGGAATCGTCTCAAAGCTTTCAAAATATAATCTCTTGAAAGGAGACGAGCGAGGTATCACATAAAATATATATGGAAAATACTGGAGGGCCAGTGTCTAAATTTGGCCAGAAAAATAACAACATACTGGAGTGAACGATATGGAATGAAATGCAGAATAGGGCCAGTTAAGAGTAGAGGTACATAGGCACAATTACAGAACACTGTCTGAATATTGGAGGCCAACAGTTGTTCAGTATCCTCCCAGCAAGTATAAAAAATATTGCTGGAACGAAAGGGTTCTTAAAAGATAATTAGACACTTTTCTGCATGAAGTGCCAGTCCAACTAGGCTGTGGTGCATATGTAGGCGTGCGGGCCGCTCCAAGCAACAGCCTGTCGGACCAAGCTCTCACAAGTCATTTCTGGGAGTAGAAGAACTCTCAGAACCCCATCCGGGTACAATCTAGGTACGTGACCGAGAAGAGGAGGCAGCGAGGCGTCTGATGGGCTTAAGACACCACAGATACTTAAGACGTCGAACAGGAGACACATACCGGCCTGTGCTCTGAATTATTGCAGTAACTCGTGAGTGCAGCCTTGTCAATCCTGAGTTGAGTGCTGAAGTCACTGTGACAGCGCGTAGAATACCCTTCTCAGCCTCTGGGAGGTGAAATACATGAATTTCGTCACGAATTTCAAAGCTGCGAGATGAAACCTGGCGACGGTCAACACTGTAGGACGATTTAGGAGTGCAATACGTCCTCCTCTGTGGCAACATTCAATGCAGAGGTAATTGTTCCACAGCCACTCTGAGAATTCCTACCACTGACCATACGTCTAACAAATACACCAACAGATATTCACACACATCCACACCTCACACTCATATTTACACTCTAAACCACCCCATCTACGGCCCCATCCACCACACCATCCACCCACACCATCCACCACACCTTCCACCACCCCATCCACCACACCATCCACCACCCCATCCACTCACACCATCCACCACACCATCCACCACCCCATCCACCACGCCATCCACCACCCCATGCACCACACCATCCACCACACCATCCACCACATCATCCACCACACCATTCCCCCACACCATCCACCACACCATCCACCACACCATCCACCACACCATCCACCACACCATCCACCACACCATCCACCACACCATCCACCACACCATCCACCACACCATCCACCACACCATCCACCACACCATCCACCACACCATCCACCACACCATCCACCACACCATCCCCCACACCATCCACCACACCATCCACCACACCATCCACCACACCATCCACCACAACACCATCCACCACAACACCATCCACCACAACACCATCCACCACAACACCATCCACCACAACACCATCCACCACATCATCCACCACACCATCCACCACAACACCATCCACCACAACACCATCCACCACACCATCCACCACAACACCATCCACCACAACACCATCCACCACACCATCCACCACACCATCCACCACACCATCCACCACACCATCCACCACAACACCATCCACCACACCATCCACCACACCATCCACCACACCATCCACCACACCCACCTGGAGTCCTCTTGATGGCCCAGGAGAAGGTGACGGAGGCCGGGTAGGCCACGACGGTGCAGGCGAGAGTGACGGAGCCTCCACTCGGGGCCACGTACTCCTGACGCTGGTCCTCCTGGCACACCGGGGCGACTGTTGGGTGACAGGAAGAGAAAATGAGAGACTCTGGAGAAAATGAGAAATGTGAAGATACAGAGAATGAGAAATGTGAGGGAGAGTCATGTCTTACGCGAGAGAAGCGGAAGCCAGATTGAGAGAACAAATGAGAACGAAGAAGAGCTGAAATTCACGAAAAGGAAGAAAATGGGTCATAGCGAAGTAAGAGAAGAGAACATGGAGAGCGTGTAGAGAGAGAGAGAGAGAGAGAGACAGAGAGACAGAGAGACAGAGAGACAGAGAGACAGAGAGAGAGAGAGACAGAGAGACAGAGAGACAGAGAGACAGAGAGAGACAGAGAGAGACAGAGAGAGACAGAGAGAGACAGAGAGAGACAGAGAGAGACAGAGAGAGACAGAGAGACAGAGAGAAAGTGCAAATTGGACAGACCTGCAAATGGATGGCAAAACCCTAGAGTTCACAGATGAAACTGACGTCTTGGGAATGATGATCGACTTTTCAATGACAATGAAGAGATATGTGTTTAACCTAGCTCAAAAGGTAGCCAGGAATCTTACAGCTCTACGGCGCATCTCACACCTTGACAACATGGGCTGCAAAACCTTTTATGAAGCACAAGTTCACTCTCATCTAGTACATAGTACATGCACCCCTTTCCTGGATCGCCTGTCCTCAATCATACATCAGATTGTTGGACAAAGTGGAGGGACGGGAAAGAAGGCTCATCTCTAGTCTTGACCAAGTCTGGTGGGAACGGTCTGAACATCAGAGCTTGCACCACCATCGGGATGTTGGGGGTTTTACTCTTATGTGCAAGGCCAACATCCACAAAGATCCACACCTGGCCCAACTCGGTGGACTACCAATAGTTGCCACACGTAGCACTAGGCTCTCAACCTTCATCAGTCTCATGCTGGAAATGCCTTTTTGAAGATCGTCACTCTATTAGCGATCATTCGTTCCTAGGCTGACTCGCATCTGGAACTTGTTCGCTCAACAGGTTGATACACGGGAGATCAGGTCAACTGATCACATGAAAACTCTAGCACACGATTGGCGTCAAGCTTATCCCGTTCCTTATATGATTGTTACCTAATGATGTTAATGCATAAAGGCTATTTCTACTGATGCATATAACAGGCTCATGAAATAACTGGGCCTCTAGAAGTAGGTTTCAACTTAGGTGAGGAAGTATTACAGCTCGTGCTTGCAGTTTCACCAGGTTCCTTATATGATAGTTCCTTTATGATAGTTCCCTATGTTATAAGTTCAAAGTTCATTTTTTTTTTTTTTTTTTTTAGATATATACAAGAGTTGTTACATTCTTGTACAGCCACTAGTACGCGTAGCGTTTCGGGCAAGTCCTTTTCTCATGAAATAAATGAGGTTCTAGGAGCAGGCTTCATATTAGCAGAGGTAGGATAACACCTCCTGCTTGTAGTTGCACTAGGCCCTTCATTTGACAGCCCTTGTGAATCCTAACCTTATATAAAAAAAAAAGTGAGCGAGTGAGAGAAAGTGACAGAGAAAGAGAGATAGAGAAAGACACACAGAGGCAGAAACGAAGAGAAGGAGACAGGCAGAGGCAGAAACGAAGAGATAGACAGACAGACAGACAGACAGACAGACAGACAGACAGAGAAAGACAAAGACAGACATAGACAAAGACAGAGACAGAGAGAATACTCCTAAAAAAAGAATACAACTCCAACAATGGACTAGGTGTTATGTATAATATTCCCTGAACCTCTATACAGGAGACAATAAAGTTGAATCACTACGAGAAAGCCTCTTCCATTATCGATAAAACACTAAATAATACAACATTATCCCGTCTACCCCCACGAGTTTCAGGTTTATCGAGCAGACTTAAAACTTGGAGACGCGCCACCCGAGATCACTCTGAGAATCAATACGAACTTGATGATTTAAAAGTGATTAGAGGAACGTCTTCAAACGTAAGCAGATTCAGGTGCCTCTGATCAGGGAAGATGCTTGATCGTGCTTTATTTTGCTCCTCAGTCATCTTGAAACGAAACCTTTATGCCATAAATTGTGATATATCAGATCTCATGCTCACAGTGAATATGTAGATCTCATAAAAAGTTTGTAGGACTCATAACAAGTTTGTAGGACTCATAACAAGTTTGTAGGACTCATCACCAATTATAGACTAATCTCAAATAAGTATATTGGACTTACAAAGAAGTATGCAGGACTCACGAAAAATTCTGGAGATAATGGGGCTTGCAGGTATTTGTAAACATAGCGAATGTGTTCTAACACTTGCTCTTATTCGTATTATAGAGGCGTTTGAGCAGTCTGACAATTACGTCCTTACATTTTGTATTGGTTCTATAGCTCTGTGTCGCTCACAAAGACCCCTAGACGTACAATACTTCCTTGGTCTTCATGCCCTTGACGCTTAATGGGCCTGAGCAAGAGGCTGAGAATCTCTGCGACGCTCTGCGTGGTGCAGCAGTGTTGATTGCTCTGTTTCGTGCTCTTTGATACGCTGCGTACATCCGTGATGTACTCTGTTTAGATTTCTGCAGGTTGTTCGGTGGTGCTCCCTTATCTTAATGCCTTATTGCTGACTCTCATGATACCTCTGTTGTCCATTAGCTGGAAGAGGAGGGCGCGAGAGTGCTTACCATGACCTGGGATGGGGAATATTGCCTCCGGAATGGACAACATCATGGATGGTAATGGGGACAAACTCAATAAATGTCTCAGTGCTAAAGGCAATGGTATTGGTAAACGTGTCGAAGGAATTGCTAACCAATTATAGAAAAGCCATGGACTTAATTAGGACAAGGTAGGGATAAGGACACATGTCGCGTTTTGTCGGCAAAATATAATCCAATGCTATTCATATCTATTACAGGAATAATAAATCTTGCCCCTGTACACTCCTATAGATCTATATAAATAAAAATGGAAATGTTCGTTTGTTCAAAATCGCTAATCTCCGAAAGTTCTTCACCGATTGCTTTGAAATTTTAACACAATATTAAATTTGCATCCGAGCGGGTTTATATATACTTACTATATTGATGTCAGGTCTGTGACGGAAAAAACCTGCTCTTTCCTGAAAAACTGTGTTTTTCATGTGTTTTTTTCAGGTGAGGGAAATCTTCGAAACCTCTTTACCGGTTGCTTTGAAATTTTGACACAACGTTGCTTTTCAATAGGCGCGTCTTTCTATATATCTACTATATACATGCCTCACCTGTGACAGGAAAAAAACATGCTTTGTTTGAAAAACAGCACCATCTGTTGAACGTATGAGCAACACACGCTGTAATCTCCAAAAGTTCTTTACCGATTGCTTTGAAATTTTGACACAACGTTGCATTCAAATAGGCGCGTCTTATTATATGCCTACTATATAGATGCCACACCTGTAACAGGTAAAAACATGAGTTTTTGAAAAACAGCGCCATCTGTTGCACATAATAGCAACATGCACACTATACTAAATATGTCACGATTTCCATTTCAATGTTTCCGATTGTATTGATAAATTATATTTTCATAGATTTCGTTTTATTTATGTTTTTATTGAATTATTTGGTGTGACATTGTGTTGGAATTGAGCTGTGTTGTTTACCATACAGTTCATTTCGTAGGTGTAAGTATGGATGCCAAACCTGTGACAAATAAATCCGTGCTTCCCTTGAAAAACAGCGGCATCTGTTGTATGTCAGATCAACACACAAGCTATACTAAATATGTTACAATTCCATGTCAATGTTTCTGATTGCATTGATAAATTGAATTTTCATAGATTTCGATTTATTTTAATTTTGATTTAATTATTTTGTGTGAATTGTGTTGGAATTGAGCTGTGTTGTTTACGATACTGTTTATTTCATGAGTATAGTTTATTTTTAATTTTTTTTATATTTTCATTTAATTTTTCAACTGTTTTTCATATATTTCAGTGATGGGAACATCAGATGACTTGATGCTCCCATTTTTCTGTTGGAAATATCAGACCATTTGGGAAGGCATCAGACGAGAAAGTGGGGAATGGTGGGGATGACGAGGGGACCAGGGAGGGGGGGTAATGGTGGGGAAGGACGAGGGGACTAGGGAGGGGGGATAATGGTGGGGAAGGACGAGGGGACTAGGGAGGGGGGATAATGGTGGGGAAGGACGAGGGGACAAGGGAGGGGGGGTAATGGTTATCTTGAGGTTATCTTGAGATGATTTCGGGGCTTTAGTGTCCCCGCGGCCCGGTCCTCGACCAGGCCTCCACCCCCAGGAAGCAGCCCGTGACAGCTGACTAACTCCCAGGTACCTATTTACTGCTAGGTAACAGGGGCATTCAGGGTGAAAGAAACTTTGCCCATTTGTTTCTGCCTCGTGCGGGAATCGAACCCGCGCCACAGAATTACGAGTCCTGCGTGCTATCCCCCAGGCTATGAGGCCCCTATGGTGGGGAAGGACGAGGGACAAGGGAGGGGGGGGGGTAATGGTGGGGAAGGACGAGGGGACGGGGGAGTTTGGGATGGTGCGGACGAGGGGATGGTGAATGGAAAATGATGGGGAGGACAAAGAGACAGGGGAGTGGGGCATGGTGGGAATGAAGAGGGGATGGTGGAGTGGGGAATGGTGGGAAGGACTTGGGGACAGGGAAGGTTGCTGTGGCTCAGCCACAGCAATGCGTGGCCGGGTACTGCTAGTTTATCTATAGAAGCAAAAATAGAAATGTTCGTTCTTTCAAAATTGCTAATATCCGAAAGTTCTTCACCGATTGCTTTGAAATTTTCACACAACGTTCCATTCGTATCCGAGCAGGTTTTTGTATACAAATTATATAGATGTAATGTCTGTAACAAGAAAAAACATGCATTTAAAAAAAAAAACTTTTTCAAGTAAGGGAAATCTTCGAAATCTCTTTACCGATTGCTTTAAAACTTTGACACAACGTTGCATTCAAATAGGCGCAGATTTTTATATACATACTATATACATGTCTTTCCTGTGACAGCAAAAAAACATGCCTTCTTTTGAAAAACAGCGCCATCTGTTGGACGTAGGAGCAAAACACTCTGTTATCTCTGAAAGTTCTTCACCGATTGCTTTGAAATTTTGACACATCGTTCAATTTGTATACGCACAAGTTTTTATATACCTACTTTATAGATACCAGACCTGTGACAAGTAAAAACATCCTTTTTTTTTAAACAGCGTAATTTGTTGCACGTAATTGAAACACAGTTACTAAATATGTTACGATTCCATTGCAATGTTTCCGATTGCACTCATCAATTGAATTTTCATAGATTTCGATTTATTTTCATTTTTATTTAATTATTTTGTTTGACATAGCATTGGAATCGAGCGGTGTTGTTTACCATTTCATTCATTTTGTGAGTATAAGTACTTACTGCTTCAACTGTGACAGGTAAAAACTATTTTTTTTTAAGAAGCAGCACCATCTGTTGCATGTAAGAGCAACAAACGCTATACTAAATATGGTAGATTCTATTTCAATATTTCCGAATGCATTGACAAATTGAATTTTCATATATTTCGATATCTTTTCATTTTGATTTAATTGTTTTGTGTGACATTGCGTTGGAATTGAGTGATGTTGTTTACCATCTCATTCATTTTGTGAGTATAAGTATAGATGCCTCACCGGGGAATGGTAGAACATTCTAAAAAAAAGTGCCATCTGTTGCATGTATGTGCAACACACACCATACTATATGTTACGATTAAATTTCAATGTTTCTGATTTCACTGATAAAATTAATTTTCATAGATTTCGATTTATTTTCATTTTGATTTCATTATTTTGCGTGACATTGCATTGGAATTGAGCTGTGTTTTTTACCATACCGTTCATTTCTAGAGTATAAGTACTGATGCCACACCTGTGACAGGTAAAACCATACTTTTTTTAGAAAAACAGCGTCAACTGTTGCATGTAAGAGCAACAGACACTATACTAAATGTTTCAATTCTATTTCAATGTTTCTGATTGCATTTATAAATTGAATTTTCAGAGATTTCGATTTATTTTGATTTTGATTTAATTACTTTGTGTGACATTGCGTTGTAATTGAGCTGTGTTGTTTACCATACAGTAAATTTCGTGAGTATAGTGTATTTTTTTATTTTTTCATTGTTTTTCATTTCGTTTTTTTAGCTGTTCTTATTTTTCAGTGATGTGAACATCATTTTGTTTAATGTCCCCAGTTTTCTGATGGGAACATCAGATCATTTGGGAATGCATCGAGCAAGGGAATGGGGAATGGTGGGGAGGACGAGGGGATGGGGGAGTTGGGGATGGTGGGGACAAGGGGGCGGGGGAATGGAGAATGGTGGGGAGGACTAAGGGATATGGGAGTGTTGGATGGTGGGGAGAAAGAGGGGACAGGGGAATTGTAGGGAGAACAAGGGCACAGGGAAGTGGGAGATGGTGCGGAGGATGAGGGGACGGTGTAGTGGGGAATGGTGGGGACGACAGAGGACGGTGAAGTGTGGGATTGTAAGGAGGACAAGGGGACGAGGGAGGAGGAATGATGAGGAGGACGAGGGGATGGGAAAGTGGGGAATTGTTGGGAGAACGAGGGGACTGGGGAGTGGGGAATGGTTGAGAGGGCATGGGGACAGGGGAAAGGGTGGGGGGGGGGAATGGTTGGGAGGACTGAGGGACAGGGGAACGTTGTTGTGGCTCAGCAACGCACATGCGTTGCAGAGCCACAACAACGCATGGCTGGGAACAGCTAGTATAATATAATAATATTAATGAAAAGGATTTGATAAATGGAGCTAATTTCTTACATTTTTGTGTCGTGTTTTAAAATAAATGATAAAGCCAAAATTACTAATACCAAAACACATTATCTGTAAGGGGGGTAGCAATTTACTTCCTTGTGCATTCAATTTTGTAACTACCCTGGCACTGAAAAAAAATCTAATGTCTCTGTAGCTCATTTGAGTACTAAATTTCCACCTGTGCCCTCTTGCTCGTGTTCCGCCCATTTTAAATAGTTTGTCTTTCTCCATCATTGCATTTCCTCGAGAATTTTGACGGTGGTGATCGTGTTTCCCTCAACTTTTTTGTTTTCCTGGGACGTGAGGTTTAATTCCTGTACCCTTTCATCGTAACTCATATCTCTCAGCTCTGACTGGTGGCATACCACTGAATCTTTTCAAACTTTATCTTGTGCTTAACTTGGTGTAGATTCCAGGCTTGAGCTGCAACTTCCAGGAATGGCCTGACATACGTGGTATGTAAGATTTTGAATGCTTCCTTACCCAAGTTTCTATGGACAGTTCTTATGTTGGTCAATCTAGCAAATGCCGCTGATGATATCGTTTAAATGTGAGCTTCTGTTAACAGGTTAGTTGTAATATCAATCCCCAGGTCCTTCTCTCTACTTGATAACTGAATGATTTCCCCTTTCAGATGGTACCTTGTGTTCGATCTCATGGTCTCTTCACTTAAATTTATTACTTTACTCTTATATGAGTTAAACTTTAGTAGCCATTTTCTAGACCA